AAATTGATACTTGAGCCACACAGTCCATATTGTTATTGATTAGACATTCAGGAGAAAGAGAATCCATCTTTCTTTAATCTCTGTCCACGGCCAGGGGCTTCAAGTAATTGGCAACCTCCACCGGCTTGGAGACTTGGTGGCACTCATTCGAACTTGTAAGAATGATACTGCATTTTCGACTAGGGTTTTGAATGGGTGCCAGGTAAGTGTGTTACAACCATATTTTTGTACGTTGTACGTCAATTGATGTAAGCTCAAAAAATGAGATAATCTTTGAAAGTACATAAAGTAAGTTAATCATGTTAACTTGGAGGTTACAAATATTTTATATCATAAACTGCAAGTACCAAGAGGGTTGGAAAGCTTAGAAGCTAAACAAATTGAAGAAAACAAGTTTCGTTGAATGTCGACAAGTTGGGAATGTTATAACATGTACTTTTGGGGTGAGGCTAGGGTGCTCAAAATGATAAGGAGGTTATTTTATGAGTTATTTTAGTCTTATGATAGTCATGTGTTATGTTCTGAAGTCAAGCGAGTTGTGGAACAAAAGTTGGCAAAGATCATCACAAGTTATGGACTTAGCCTTTACCCAGCACTGAATTTGAATCTCCTTATGCTATGGTAGATTGAGTTGTGTTGTTTGAAGAGTTGCTTGGATGCTATTAAGAACCCAACGAGGTTAAGGTATGTTAAGGCTAAACCCTTTCTTTCTTTTGGCATGATCTCGTAACTACATGCGTTTGATAACGAGACATAAAGAGAAGTCTGTACTCCTAAATTTATGTACATTATCCTAGTCTCATAAGTTACATTACTCTCCCTTATCGGGACTTTATATTCAGTTAATTATTGTCTTCTTCCAGTCAAGAGAGCAGAAGATCTATATATATACATATATTTACAGAGTATTACAGTATTTTCACCACCACCGAGCTATAATCGATGGGCGGGCCCCTATTGGGCAACCTCTGATAAGATGGTAAGTTATATACCGAGCCTACTGTGGCTGAGCGCCTATGAGAGAGCCCAGAATGGCTAAAATACAGAGCCTAGTATGGCCGAGCGCCTATGAGCGAGCCTACTACGGCAGAGCAGTTACACATACCAAGCCTTATAGGGCCGGACACCTATTTTACTTACTATATTTAGAGAGTTGAGTCAGTATTAGCAAGTAAGCATATCTTCAGATTATCTTAGACTCCCAATTACTTTCAGTTATTATATTATTAGTTCAGTTTCAGCTTTCAGTTATTTTGTTGTCTTACATACTCGGTACATTATTCCGTACTAACGTCTCTTTTGCTGGGGACGCTGCATTTTATGCCCGCAGGTCCTGATAGACAGCTGGATAGACCTTCCTAGTAGAGAGAGTCAAACATCAACTCAGTTGGTAAGCTCCACTTCCTCAGAGTTACCAGGTCTAGACCTTGGAGTCCATTTTCTATATACGGGTTTGATGGGTAGGTCGAAGCCCTGTCCCTTCCATGATACAGTTCAGCTATCTCTAGAGGCTTGTAGACGAGTCCTGTATATTTTGTATGTTAGTATTGTGGCCTTGATAGCCCTGGGTGCATGTTCAGTTTGGTATGCTGGTTGTAGACGTTCATGGCGGCCTCGTCGGCCTGCACAGTTATGTATATGAACTTTTGGGTATGTTTACCCCTCAGATGAGAGAGACGTTATTTTCAGATGATTCAGAATATGGCCTCATTGGCCTAAGTTGAGGGTTACCCTTCCAGAGTTCACAATTGCAGAGTGGTACGCTCGGGCCAAGTATTGCATCGGGTTCCGGCCACGCCTCTTCAGGTTTGGGGCATGACAAAGTGTTCCCTATATACGCATGGTCAGGTGACCGCGGGGAAGGAACATCTTTTGTCTGTTCGGTTGGGGCTAGTGGAGAGGTAGCAGTTAGTGTAGAAGGTGTTGCGATTGCGGTTGGTGTAGAAGTATATGGGGGAGGAATGTTTGTGGTAGAACTCCTCTGACCGGAAGCGACAATAGGGATTCGAAAACGAGATTCAGTGTTTTCAACTGTATCTATTTCCGTAAGGAGCGCTTGAAGTTCTCCCAGGTGAGGTGCCTGAAGTTCTCCTAGATGAACATCCGGTTAAGCTGATGAAGATCTTTTTCTTCTTTGAAGAGGAATCGCTTCATCATCAGTTCCTTCTTCATCAAGTACCACTGTGTTTAATCCAGTTGGAGATTCTTTTGTTAAGGTCTTATCCCGAGTCCCAGCAGTATAGGTATGTCTTCTCTTTGGTTTCTTGTCCTTGGGCTAGGGAATCAGGGAGGAGGCACCTTCATCGGAAGCAAGAGCGGCTTCATGAGCCCTCATCCAGTTAAGGACATCTTGAAATTGTCGTTGATCGTCCTCTGGGTCATTAGAGATGTCAATAATAAGTAAGCAACAGATCCCTTCGGAAGACCTTTGTATTGCGAAAGGGGAGTCACAAATTGATTCCAAAATATTTTAAAGGTTGAAACAGAAAAAGGAAAACTTTTACCATGGTTTTTGGATTTCTAATTAAATCTGGGAGAAATTTCCTACCACCTTCAAGAATCCGATGTGGAAACGTCTAAGATTTTATGTACCCAGTAGGCCAGGTTCTTAACCGATGATGGTTCCCAATTAGTAGCTGGAATATAAAAAACAAAAGTTAGCAAAGAAAGAAATTCTCTTTAAACACGGTAAGGAAAGGATGTTCGAATACTCACGAGAATTCCAAGATTCAGGAACGGAAGGGGATGTTGCCAGGAGAATGTCCCTGGTGGCAATGACAACAAACCATTCCATCCAGCCACGGTCGTTATAATCATCGACGGTAGTAACAACGGCATGGTAGCCGCGCTTGCTGCATTAAGCACACCCACACAGAAGTTCTTCGGGGAGTAGAGATTGAATAAATTTGCGAGTGTGAGGGTTCCCCAGCCTCGGAATACATTTTTGGAAGGCAAGCCACAGTACGCCATATTAATTGACTCACCTGAGCCAAGCAGATTTGGGAGCGGTGGGCAAATTATAAATTATAGGATCAATTTCTTTGCCCAATTTTAGAGTACAAGAGTATTTATAAATATACATGAACCCTGGCTTGCTAAAGGTGATCCTTTCCACTTCGTTGGGGGAATATATTTCGATGTTATTCCAGTCGCAATTCTTCTTTACGACGGGAATGCTAACAGGGCAAATGAAAGAGGGATACCTGCAGACAGGCCAATTTCGGTCATTTCTGGGGTTGATAGTTTCCTTTTGAACTTGAAGGTCCAACTGGGAGTTAAGTTGAAGAGGTATGATGGTGTTAACGGAGAAGGCTCGAATTCAATATCGACTTCTTTCGTTTTGTTCTTTTTAGGGCTACTACCGCTGAGAAGGCCAGAGTTTCTGTCAGTAGTGAAAAACCTGGTAAAAAGTTTGAGTAATAAGATTTTACTGAGAAAGAGGGGTTTTGCAGTAGGGTTCTAAGGAAATTCAGAGAAGAAGAGGAGTTTGTAAAAATGAAAGATAAAAAGTGATGAATAGTGGAGAAGTTTATAGACGGCAAAATTCATCATCATGATTACCTTGAAATCTAGCGAAAATACTTGTCGAATCAAAGGGTAACATGTGTTCGATTCATTAAATGGAAGGAGACATGCGTCCTTTCAAGTTTAGAAACTGTTTCAAAACTTTTCCGCCAGGAAAAGGGGTCTTATATACTTCTCGGTAACACAGAGTTTTGTCACCGAAAAGTAGGAGGGCTATCTGTATGGGGTAAAATTGATTTGCGACAGGTGGACGAATGACAATATGACACATGGAGCTGGAGCCAAGTAAGATATGAGCCGGGAAATAGTTGACACTGGATACAAACATGTGATCGGTGCTGAATAAATTCTGAAGGCATGGGAACCAAGAACGAAGATTTGAAAGGGAGATATTGGTTGGAAAAGATAACATCCAATGAGCAACTGTTACGAAGAATCTTTGTATTAATGGTCAACCGTTATACAGTCATCAAGAGGGGTTTTATTCTCATTAAAGAATAGCTTGATTTGGAGATCTTATCTCTCTGAATAGAGCTATAAATAGGAGAATTTGTATTCATAGTTGGACACAAAAAATTATTTGTACCGAAAGACTAAAATTTTCTCTTACTATATCAGATTACTCTCTTTCTTTTTTATCTTAGCAGTACTTTTATTACCGCTTCCGAAAAAGCTAAGCCCACAGCCAGACTTGTAATTCTTCAAGTTATTATAATAATCTTATTTCTGTTCTCATGCTTTTTATATTTGATCAAATTAATTCACATACCTATAAACCATGTTATAAATTCAATTGTACCATTTTACGGGTACAATTTTACGGGTATCTATAAACCATGTTATCAATTTCGATTGATAGTTTTATTTTTTAACAAAATCGACCGAAATCGATCAGTTATTTTGCACGAAAATGCGATTAGAGAGAATAAATAAAATAAAATAAAGTATTAAACTAAAAAACACCAACGATCTAGTTGCGGAGTAAGTGATTTTGCTGGAACTTGGTTAAAAAGGAAGAAATGACTTGCCTTATTCGTGGGCAGAGATCATTTTTCTTTGCAACTCTTAACCTCATGATCATACCACTAACTCTAACCAACGATTAGATATTATTATCAATCTTTAATGCTAAAATATCTTATCAAACACCATCTGGTTTGCCAAAAAGATATTTTTTACTGGACAATCAAACACCGGAAACCAATTGTTTTAAAATAAAACAAAAAACATATTTTACAGAAAATTACTTATTTTCCTGAAATTGTTTTCCAGATCATACCAAATACACAACCAAAGGAGATGCTTGAACGAACAAAGTTGCCAGACTGGTGAACACGAAAATAGCCAGGAAAACCAAGGTCCCAAGTTCTAAAAAACTTGATATAGATTCATATATCAGATCTCAGCAGCGTGCCAATTACCCCAATACAGTACTCGTCAAATCATCATATGTTATCTCCGCATGTAACTCATCACATTCAAAATCACAGGCAGACATTAATTTCATAATGCAAGTTTCAAATGAACATCAATGTTGGCTGTCGAGGGAAGGAGAAAAAATTTAATTTGGTGATGTGCTACATAACAGGATCAACAATCATTTCAAAGAAGCAAACCAGGTAGCCAGAAAAGAGAAGTGATCATAAAATTGTCCACAGAACGACAAGTAGAGCCAACGCCATCCTTGTATAGCCAAGTTGTCGGTCTGCACCTCCGTAGTATTGCTCTATCATGAGCCCAAACCGGCAAGTACCAGTTGATGGATCTGACTTTGTGACAGTTCCAAGCCCTTGGAACTTGCAAGCATCGTCAAGCTGATTGTTTATCTGGTAGTAGCTGTTGAACGCATATGAAATATTTCCACGTGCATCCAAACCTCCACAAGATGTTCCATACCCGAGACTCGTGCAGTCAGCAAGTCCACAAGCATAGCTCATGCTAGGCGCAATCTGGGGGTCATCCACCTTAGCATTGGGTTTAAACACACACCACTTCCTCTCCAAATACTTCACATTTTTAGCTTGAACTAAAGCCCCTGAATTTGTAGTGCCAAGATTTAGGGAGTATTTGGGTAGGCCATCATATGTAAATATTCCCCAGTGACGTTCAAAATTTCCAGGTTGAATGCTCTTAGCATCCTCATCAATTAAACTAAACAGATAGGCATCAATAGGCCCAGGCCTCATAGGGGTGCCTTTTCCTTCTGATATATGCTGCATGAATCCTTGGTTGAATCGTTGTGCAAGTTGTGCATTAGCATTGCGGTCACCATCAGTGGGCCAACCAATTTCTCCGATTATTATAGGGACGTTCCCAAAACCATTCTTCTGTAAAGCCCACACAAGAGTATCGTGATTTGCATCAAACATGTTGGTGTAGGTTGTCCCACCATCATTTAGAGGTGTTGCATTTCCATCAAAGAAAGCATATTCAACTGGGAAGTTGGGGTCAATATAAAGGCTTATGAATGGATAGATATTGATTGTAAAGGGACAACCGTTGTCGCTTAAGAACTTGACAAGTTGGCTCACAAAGCCATGGATTTCAGCTCGAAAATCACCACCTGATGGCAAGCCACTGGAGCTCTCATAAACATCAGCATTGAGGGGGCAAGTAACCTTTACTTTATTACCGAGGCCAGCTTTCACGAGTGCAGTTTGGACATTTTGCATAGCAGGAAGAGTTGTTCGAAGGTAAGTTCCATTGTAGGTTGTCAAGTAAGGTTCATTTCCAACTGCAACATACCTACAACAAAGTCAAAAGCTATGTGTAAACATTCAAGCCTAGTTTACTAAATGAACCAAATTTAACATTTATTCTATATCAAGCTCCTGATAACAGACATCACATACAAGAAGAATATAGAGCAAAAAGGCAGAGAAAGAAAATGAAGACAGAAAAATAATCAATTCCGCTAAAATAAGTTCAATGCAATCGTAGTAACAAACTCAGCTCAGATGATTCAAACAAGGTAAGACTACTTTGGACATGAAACGATGCATAACGCGCAAAAAAATGAATGCAGGGAACACTCAAATTGACAAAGATAGTTGTAGCTGCACATCTGATGTTTTCGCTGATGGGTAATACTGCCCCATCAAACAAATACAAAAGAATGACATTGCAGAAATGACAAAAGACGAATCACATTATAGATCTGACAGATCACTAGGTCATGTTAGAGCAGCAAAATCAAGCTGGATTATTCTTTCAACTACCAACTAGAAAATCTGATAGGGAATGCTGATTCGCTTCACAGTGGTGGATAACTGGTAAAAACTAGAGCTATGGACCATTGTTACTCGTGCACATTGCGAATAGCACATCATGAAGTGATGTACAGACCCCTCCTTATAGCTAAAGTTTTACACTGCCATTTGATCATGGACTGAACAAGAGTGTTTATAAGATTGCATAAACTGAAAATGATTAGAACCTTAGCGACAACACTCAATGCAGTGTGGTAGAAAACTGAGTAAGAGGGTCAACTCCTGCTGGCAATAGAAAACCTTAAGTTTTCTCATTGTGAGTTGAGGTCAACCCTGCTGGGTACAAAAGCTTCATGTATTCTCATTCTGAGAAAAGTCACGTCTACAGCAAGCGGATCAGGCATTGACACTTCCCATCATGTTTGAACCCCAAAAGCAACGCTTGATTGACATTTCATTCTTCATTACAAACAAACGTATTAATGTCTTAACAAATTTCAAGCATCTTCTCCACTTTGAATATGTAAACAATGTTTACTCATGATGTTAAATAAATGAAGATTTGTGTAGCTTCTTTAATGAGTTTTAGATGAAGCGGAACCAATCATTCAATTTAACAGTAGAAATCTAAAGATGGTTCTATAGGCTATTCCAGCAATGATGGTTATTGACCTTGTAAATTTCACAAAGCTTTTAGTTTGGTAGTTGTCGTTTTCCAAATTTGTCTTGTTGAAGACATCATCAACAACAAATAACCAAGTGTATTCCCACAGGTGGTGGGGTCTAGGGAGGGTAGTGTGTACGCAGACCTTACCTCTACCTAGTGAAGGTAGAGACGCTGTTGAAGATATAATTAAGTAAATAAAATGTACTCCACCTAACAACTTTAATTTCAAGATGAGATGGTCACACACTTCTATCAGACAGGCATAAAGGGCCATGTTGAACACATAATTAAGTAAATAGAATTGTGCTTTCTCACAGATTAAACTTGTAGATGATGTGGTCACTATAACATCCCATACATACATACATATACATATATATATATATATATATATATATATATATATATATATATATATGTATATATATATATATACCCCCTTCTCCCTTGATTGGAAGAAGATAATAATCAATTGAATATAAAGTCTCGATAAGGGAGAATAGTGGTAACTTATGAAACTAGGATAATGTACATAAATTCGGGAGTATGAACTTCTCTTTATGCCTCGTTATCAAACACATGTAGTTACGAGATCATGCATAAATGAAGGAAGGGTTAGACTTAACATACCTTAACCTCGTTGAGTCCTTAATAGCTTCCAAGCAACTCTTCAAACAACTCAACCCAATCTACCATAGCATAAGGAGATTCAAAATCAGTGTTGAGTAAAGGCTAAGTTTGTAACTTAAGCTAGTAGCTCGTTTTATGTAAATTTGGGCAGCATCTCCCTTGTAAAAAGGGCCTCCTCCAATACCATATACCAACAATAACAACTAGAGCAATACAATAGGAAACAAAATTAACAATAGGGTACAAAATATTTCATTTACAAGTCATCAACATATCACGACGAGCGGCAAGCTCGAATTGAATCTCTTTAGCACTCTTCAACCCCATTATCATTCATTCTTGAACTTAGTAATATGTTCAGTATAATAACCAATACCTTTTAAAGGATTTCCAATCTTGTACTCAATTTTTAAGTTACACGAAATAGCCCAACACCAGATTATATCACTGTCGATAACTTCCAAGTGCTTTATAGCCATTTCCTTTTCTAGTTACCAATTTCCTCAAGAAGATTGACATGTAAACCAACATAATTATACTAACAATATCATAGACAACTTATTTTCCATAATTCAGCCACTTAAAGTTCATAACAGCAACTTTCAAATCAATCCATCAAGAACTACAATATCTCAAGCTAATGCAAGCATTATCTTGTTGTTTATCATCCTAACAACTTAACCAACATACAAGAAAGCTTAAGCACAATTAGTAGGATGTTATACTCACCTTATACAGTAGAAACAACTTGAAATGTCAGCCAAACACAGCCCACAATTATCCTCAATGACACCACAACACTATAGGTGTTGTATTCTCTTCTTGAATCAACTTTAAGTGTTCAAGTTGGTGTGTAAACACTTGTAGTTTGACTTGAAAATCTAATATATATGAAGGAGTGACTGATTATTACCTTAATCAACAAGAAAAACATGAAACTTGAGGTTACTTTACTTTGAAGAACCCTCCAAAACGGCCACAAGATGAAGAACTACGATGTAGCAAGCACCACGAGGTTTCTAACATTGGATTCATATTTTTATCTTAGGTTTTTACCCTAGAATCATGGAGGAATACTTGGAGAGCACTTAGGAGTGTTTAGGAACTATTTTCGACGAGAAAAATGAGTGAAAACGATTTAGAATGAATTTAAATACAAGCTGGAGTTTTACACCAACTTTGTGGGTCCCATGGGAGCTGCTTGCGCAGTCTCGTAAATATGCGAATATCTCTCTACTCCGATGTATTATCGACGAACAGTTAAATGCGTTAGAAATGAGACTCGTAGATCTTCAATTTGGTAGGTAGATCATCCCCTAATTCCAAGTATATTGGGAGAAAAGCTCAGCTACATTTGTCCTAAGTTTCAACACATTTATGAATGGAACTTGTGATGACCTTTTTCAACTTTTGTTCCACAACTCGCTTGACTTCAAAACATAACACTTGACTATCATAAGACTAAAATAACTCATAACATAAACTCTTTATCATGTTAAGCACCCTAGTCTCACCCCAAAAGTACATGTTATAACATTCCAAACTTGTCGTCTTTCGACGAAACTTATTTTCTTCAATTCGTTTAGTGTCTAAGCTTTCCAACCCTCTTGGTATTTGTTATTCATGATCATGAAGATTTGGAGATTCCAAGGTAACATGATTAACTTATTTTATGTACTTTCAAAGACGATTTCATTTCTGAGCTTACATCAGTTGACTTACGACGTACTTACGACGTACTTTTTCGTACGAAAACATGGGGTGTAACATAAGTTTGGCTATGAAATAACATTAAAATCCAAGGAGTGGTGAAGTAGTTCGAGAACAGACCTCTTTTCTTATCCTCCCGTTGTGATTCTCTTTGAACATTATTAACGTGAATGTTAAATCATTGTAATCTGTCTTAAAATGGCCAATATTCGAATCACATTTTCGTTACTACTTATTTGGAAATCCTTACTCCTTACTAACTATGCGAGGAATGAAAACAAAGTTACAAAACTTAATATGATTCGTTTAAAGATAATATTTCATATATAATCCACAAATTATTTTTTTTACTTAACTATGTATTTAACGAATCGCTGCTTGTTCCATCATGCAGCAATATTAACTACATTAGTAATGTCTTATATATGAATGTAAATAATATATAATCACCTTTAAGATTTATACAATTGAAAATAGAACAGGGAGAGATAAGTTTGGCAACGCAATAACATTAATAACGAAGAAGTGGTGAGATAGCATGAGAACGAACCTCCTCTTTTCTTATCTTCTCACCATATTTCTCTTTGAACATTATTGACTTGAATGTTACATTTTATTATGACGTAATCTGCCTTGAAATGGTCAATATTATTTGTCTTGTAATTAATTATAATCAGATAAGTATTATATGTCTTGACTTTTGAAGATTCCAATATTCGAATCACATTTCCGCTACTACTTATTTGGACAATCCTTACTCCTTACCAACTATACAAGAAAAGAAAACATAGTTAATGAAACTTAGATATGATTCATTTAAAGATAATATTTCATATATAATCCATAATTATTTTTTTTACTTAACTATGTGTTTAACGAACCGCCATTTGTTCGATCATGCAGCAATATTAGTTACATTAGTAATGTCTTATATATCAATGCAAATATATAATCACCTTAAAGATTTATACAATTGAAAATAGAACATGGATAGATAAGTTTGGCTATGCAATAATACTAAAATCCAAAGAGTGGTAAAGTAGTTCGAGAACTGACCTCGTCTTTTCTTATCCTCCCATTGTGATTCTCTTTGAACATTATTGACATGAATGATAAATCATCGTAATCTAAAGTAATCTGCTTTGAAATGGCCAATATCAAGAATCAATTTGTGAGTTTGAAATTTAATGATTATTTATTTCGTCGTTCACTACTAGCTTCTTGTCATGCCAGGAGAAGAAGTTAGTTAAAGAAATTTCAAATAACTCTCTTATATATATATATATATATCCCGTTTAGCCAAGCTGCAAAAATCAACTTATTTTGAGAAGTACTTTTTTTCAAAAGTACTTTTGGTGAGAAGCAGTTTGTGTTTGGTTAATTAGTTTGAAAAACACTTCTGAGTGCTTCTGCTTCTCCTCAAAAGTATTTTTTTTCCTTCCAAAAGCTTGACCAAACACCTCAATTTTTGACCAAAAGTACTTTTGGCAAAAAGAAAAGCACTTTTGGCCAAAAAGAAACTTGAACAAACAGGCTAATAATCAAGTTTA